GATAGGCTCAATTCAGAAAGAATCTACCGCCATATCTACTTAGGAAAATCTTATTTTTGGACATCGTCCCGGTGGATCGTCCTGGACTATCAAATATCATCCCGGACGATCTATAGCAATTTTTCCAAAAAATTTTAGGCAGTTTTGGAAAGCAATTAATGGGGATTTCGTCCGGGCCGATCGCAAGATCGTCCGAGACAATTAGACATCGTCCAGCTTCATTTCAGGGCGATAGTCCCAGACCATTGAGCTGAATTTGAACTAATCGGTCAGGACGATATGCCTATCATCCTGGGCGATAATGTCGGCAACTTGCATTAATGAGCTCGTTTTTAGCTCTTCTATTTAAGCTTGACAAGGTACTTTGTAAGTGTCTTTGGCAGCCATTGTAGCTTCGTTCTTGTGGGGAAAACTTGGAGAGAGAGCTTGAAAGGGAGAGAGAAAAGGGTGGAGTTTGAGAGGGAGAAGATCCTGTGAGGGGGAGGAACTCAAGGGAGTGTGGTGGGGGATCCATACGGTTGCTACGACGAACTTGCACCTTAGTACCATTGGATTCAAGGCTTGTCTCGAGGTAAGTTCACCAAAAAAGAAGATCTCTTTGGTGTCAAAGGACCCGGTGACTCCGCCGCACCGGGGAAGATGGAAGTGATTTTGTAAGGGCTTCTCCGCCTAACTGTGGGGGCTAAAGGAGAGACACTTATTTTAGTGCAATACTTGGAGGGTGCCTCCAAGGAGTGGACGTAGGTCAAGGTTTGACCGAACCACTATAAATCCGATGTGTTCTTTTCTTACTATCTCTTCCGCATTTATTTTTCTTCTGCACTTTATTTGTGGTGATTTTGGTAGGAGTTTTATCTTTGGTTTTAAAGTTTTCCAATTCACCTTTCTCTTACTTAGGCTTGGGCCAGTTCATATAGGGCCTAATATCCCTAACGAGCTTTCAAGTGCAATATGAGCACTTTCACTTTAGATCCAAGTGGTTGGATGTTCGTACTCGGGATCCATCCAAAGATTGGATTAGCGATTTTTTCTTTATGTAGAATGATTGGGGCCTCCAAGAAAGATGGTGAAAGTTGAAGGAGATACCTATTCCCCTTCATATTGGAGCGGAAGACTTGTTGAGTATGTTGAAGCTTCCTGATATCGAAGCTCTTCGTTATGAGATGCGTTCTCTTAGCAGATGTTTAGACGAGGAATATTTATTCAAGTTGGGAATATCCACTCATGTAGGGAGGTCGCATGCGCAGAAGTTGAAGATATCCGTAAAAGTCCCTGAGGCCTAAAAAACTCAACCCAAGCGACTTGAGGGCGAGGGAGATTCACATACGCCTAAGAAGAAGAAGTCGAATGAAGTTTTTACAATTGCAGGCAACGCTTTTCTCTGTCCAGGATATACATTCCATAGGATGTTCTGAAACATAAGTGCATCGGTCTTCGACAAGCCGACAAGTTGGTGAGTTCACCTCCTCTCCATTTCCCTTGTATTTGTGTTTAATTTTGAGGATATACTTTTCACATATTGATTCTTTTTTGAACAGTTTCTTGAGGTGAACAAAATCTTGGATGACTGAAATGATGAGTTCGTGAAGGTCAAATACCTTCAGGGAGAATGCAAGAAGAAATACGATGGCAGACAGAGTGAAGGAGGTGGAGACGGTGGAAAGTCAACTCGATCAATGCAGAGTAGAATTGGCGAACAAGATCACTTCAGCTTCTTTCCAGAATGAGCGGTTGGATCTTTTGCATATAAAGTTAGTGGAGGTAGAGGCAACAAACAACCAACAATTGAAAAATATGTGGATCCTAGAGGCTGAGAATAAGAAGCTCCTGAACAAATTGTCTGAGAAGGTAGCTCAACTGTCACCATCTGTAGCCATAGAGGAGTTTAAAAAATCTTACGCTTTTAAGATTTTTATCGAGGATCAAGTCTAGGAAGCTCGCGATTATTTTTATGACGTAGAGGTGAAGGCTTTAGAAGCAGAGCTTATACAGGATGGCTTCATTAAAGGCTTCATGAAGGGCGTTCGTGTAGTGCAACGCAAGAACGGAGGGGAGATCGAGGGGTTGACTCTGAGCCAGGCTTCTGGTGATCCTTCTCCAGATTCTGGCGGCGAAGAATTGGAGAGTGATTTTCAAAAGATCTTCGCATTAGAAGAGGACGATGATGATGATCTTGAGATTCTATAGATTTGTTTTGATGCTTTCTGTGTTACTTTTATTTTTGCTGCGGTGATTGTGCGTATGTTCCTGCCGTTCGTGTGTTATTATTTTTGGATGATGTACTTGATGTTTGTGGGTTTCTTTTGACATTTTTCTTTTTCATATATATAAAAGACATTTTTCTTTTTCATATATGTTAACTCGAATGTTAAGGTATTTCTTTTGACCTGCATGAATGTGAGAGATATCCGCTTTGAGACACTCTGACCTATCCGAGGTTGTTAATCAAAGCACTTGCTTTATGATTTTAACCTGTGTGGAAGAGGTCGGACTAGATCCCCCTAGGATTAGTCATCTATTGATTGAGATACAATATTAGTTGTGTATTTCTCGAATCATAGGAAAAAGCTCGAATAGAAGAGACAATACAATGACAAAGCAAACATCACAATACTGTATTATATAAAATCGTACGATAATTCCGTAGCAAACTCAGGGATACAAAAAGGTGTGTTCTTCTATAACCAACATACAAAGAGTGAAAAAACTCAAAGAAAATACATGGCACAACTACAAAGCAAAACAGACATCACGAACGACATCACACATGACAGATAGTAACATCAATTTCCTACTGATAGTATTTGCGAAGGTTGCCTACATTCCAAGTTCGAGGAAGCATTCTTCTGTTGACATCTTTCAATTTGAAGGTTCCAGACTTGACCATAGCCGCAACCAAGTAAGAACCTTCTCATAGTGGGGAGAGCTTATTGCGTTGAGGTCCTTTTCCAGTAGCTTCGATGCTTCGCAGAACTAAATCCCCAATGAAAATAGTTCGAGGTTTTACTCTTCGATTGTAGTGACGAGCGACCCGCTGGTGGTATGCAGCGATCCTGAGTGAGGCTATATCTCTTGCCTCGGGGAGGAGGTTTAGATTCGTCCTGAGTTTCTCCTCATTCTTACTGAAGTCAAAGGTCTGAACTCTATTGCTCAGGACCCGTATATCCACCGGTATGACTGCTTTTGTGCCAAAACAGAGGTTAAACGGAGTCTCTCCTATAGGAGTTCTAGCTGTGGTGCGGTAAGCCCAGAGGACATTCCAGAGCTCTTCAGCCCATTGCCCCCCAGCCTTCCCTAGGCGTGTCTTCAACCCTTTTAGAATTGTTCGATTTGTAACCTCTGTTTGCCCATTTGCTTGAGAATGGGAAACAACCATGTGGATGAGTTGAATATGAAAATCTTTACATAAAGATGTAAAGATTTTTCGAGTAAATTGAGTTCCGTTATCGGTGATGACCTTTGCTGGAATACCGAAGTGACAAATTATATTCTTTCATAAGAATTGTTTGGCATTTGATTTTGTAATTTTTGCTAAGGGTTCAGCCTCCACCCACTTCGTAAAGTAATCTATAGCCAGGATGATGAATTTTCGTTGTCCCGTGGCTATAGGGAAGGGCCCCATTATGTTGATTCCCTACTGGGCAAAAGGCCAGGGGCTTTGAAGTGATGCAAGTTCTAGAGCTGGAGTATGGGTGAGATTGGAATGTAATTGGCAATTTTCGCACTTTCGTGTAAACTCAAGTGCGTTCTATTTCATTGTAGGCCAATAGAATCCCTACCTCATGATTTTATACGTCAAAGCTCTTCCTCCTATATGCTCTCCGCATACCCCCGAATGAACTTCCCTGAGTGCATAATCAGCTTCTGAAGGGGGAGACATTTCAGGTATGGTCCAGTGAAAGCTCGTTTATACAACCCACCACCGATGATGGTGAAATTTGCTGCTCGTCTTCAAAGTCTTGTTTCGGCCATGGGTTCTTCAGGCAGCACCCCATCTTGCAGAAAAGACAAGATGGGATTGGTCCAAGACAACTCCCTTGATTCATCGATTGATTGTATGACCCATGGATCTTGAATGCTGGGAAAGTAGATCTCTTCAACGCGCTTTCTCTTGTAGATGTCTCCCGTTGTTGATGTTGCAAGCTTTGAAAGAGCATCTACTCTTACATTTTGCTCTCGTAGAATATGTATGATCTGATATTCTCCTATTCGGGTTAAAAGCAGTTTTGCAATCCTGCAATATTAGGCCAGTTGCGGATTGTAGATATCGAATTCTCCTTCTACTTGGGAAGCAACTAGTTGTGAATCGGTGTGGACTACCAGGTTTGGTACTTCACAATCAACTGCTAGTTTTAGCCTATCGAGAAGAGCTTCATATTCTGCAATGTTGTTTGTTGCCGAGAACTTGAGTCGGAGCCCATACTCAAGAGTAATCTCCTGCGGGGATATTAACAGAATTCCAGCCCCCGCGCCAGAACTTCTAGAGGATCCATCAACATACAACGTCCAATGCGAAAGAAAAGGCAAAGTACTTAGTTGAACATCAGATGCTGGGACGGTGATTCAACCATGAAATCTGCGAGTGCTTAAGATTTTATATCGAGTCTAGGCAAGTAGTGAATGTCGAATTCGCCAAGTTCTACAGACCACTTGACGAGCCTACCCGATGCTTTTAGTTTTTGCAGAATATTTTTCAGTGGCAGATTTGTGTAAACTCTTATTGAATGGGCTTGGAAGTAAGGACGTAGTTTCTTGGCATAATAAACTAACACCAATGATGTCTTATCTGCTAAGGGATTACGTCCATCCATTTTAGATAGGATTTTACTGACATAGTAGACGGGGCGTTGCGTAGCATTTTCTTCCCTTACAAAGACCAAATTGATGGCCTGGGCCGAAACAACTATGTATAAATACAACTTTTCTCCGGACGTTGATTTAGAAAGTAGCGACGGGGAAGCCAAATACTTTCACAAATGTTCGAAGGCTTCTTGGCATTCGTCTGTCTGTTGAAACCCAGAGTTGAGGGCACCTCTGAGTATTTTGAAGAAAGTAAGATATTTGTCTCCTAAATGTGCCAGGAAACGAGACAATGCTGCAATTCTCCCATTCAGCCTTTGAACTTCTTTGATGTTCTTCGGGGGCACCATATCTCTTAATGCCTTGATCTTTTTGGGATTGGCTTCAATTCCTTTGTGGGTTACCATAAAACCTAGAAATTTTTCAGAAGCAACTCCGAAGGCGCATTTGGCGGGGTTGAGTGACATATTATAACGTCTCGATAGGCGGAAGCACTTCTCCAAGTTAGAGATATGTTGAGATTTTTCGAGACTCTTTACCAACATGTCGTCAACGTACACCTCCATGTTATGCCCAATAAGGGTTTTGAAAACATTATTCATGAGGCGTTGGTAAGTTTCTCCAGCATTCTTGAGCCCGAAGGGCATTACCCAATAACAATACAACCCTCTGTCTATTTGAAATGCTGTTGCTTCTTCATCAGTTAGATTCATCTGGATTTGATTGTAACCGAAGTAGGCATCCTTGAAACTCAACATTTGATGCCCAGAGGTGGTATCGACTAACTAGTTGATGCGCGGAAGAGGAAAGCTGTCTTTTGGGCAGGCCTTGTTAAGATCAGTATAGTCTATGCACATTCTCTATGCACCACTCCCCTTTCAAACCAAGACGACATTTGCCATCCAAGTAGGATAATGCACTTCACGTATGAATACGGCTTTCAGAAGTTTGTCCACCTCTTGTTCGATTGTCTGCTGACAATCTGGTGCAAAATTTCGTTTCTTCTGAATGACCGGTTTGTTTGCCGGGTTGACCTTTAGGGAATGTATAATTACTTCAAGATCAATCCCAGGCATATCCGCCGGACTCCATGCAAAAATATCCTAATTTTCTCGTAGAAAATCTGTGAATATTTTTTCTCATCTTCTGAGAGAAGTGACCCAATTTGCACAGTCTTTAGAGGATGTTCTTTAGAGATATATACAGTGGTGAGTTCTTCTATTGGAGAGGCTCTCTGAGGTATGTCTTCGTTCTGGAGATCAAAATCCTCAATGTTTAGAGTATCAGTCGGGTGTATTTTTACCTGCCTGAGATAGCCAGTTTGCCCTGTTTGTTGATCTCCACACACCACAATAACTCCTGTCGGAGTGTAAAATTTCAGCTTGAGGTGAGGGATAGATGTGACAATCCCAAAAATTGGTTGGTATGGCCTCCTGAAGATAGCGTTGTAAGCCGATTTGGACTTTACAATGACAAACTGGATAGAGTGTGTAGATTGCCAAGGGAATTCTCCAAGTACAACTGGGAGACTGATTATCCCTTCTACTCGCACAGGTCGATTATCAAATCCGTATAAAGGACCTGTCGTTGGTTGAAGCTTCTCTCTGGCGAGACCCAAATTGAGGAAGGTAGAGTAGAACAGGATGTCTACAGAACTAACGTTGTCGACGAGAATTCTCTTAACATTGTAGCATGGGTCACCTATGCCTGCATTGATAACAAGAGGATCTTGGTGAGGGGTTTTTACTCCCTCCAAGTCAGAATCATCAAAGGTGATGGTGTGATCTATATGAGCTTTCTTTAGAGTTGGAATTTCGTCCACAGCCAAAAAGACTTTATCGGATAGTAGAGGGCCTCCAACTATTATCTTAATTTCTTCAATTGCTATTCGATTATTTAATGGTGGCCTCTGTTGTCGATCTTGCCCGCCCCAGCGGGACGAGTTTCTTCTCGAGCAGGTGGATCCTGAATAAACTGTCGAAGATAACCTTGGCGGATAAGCCTTTCAATTTCCTCCTTCAGTTGTCTACAGGCTTCAGTAGTGTGGCCACGACTGCAATAGAAATGTCAGAATTTGTCCTGATTTTCTGTGTTCAACTTTAAGGGATGTGGCCACTTTACCGTATCTTGATCTCGAACAGCCATTAACACATTTGCTCGAGACGTATTGAGATGAGTGTACTCTTTCTCCTGTCGAGGTTCTCGTCGTGGCAATGGGGGCCTAAGAGGAATATTATTTTTTTCTTGCTTCTTTCGTTGTGTGGATGAATTATCCACTCAAGGAGCAACCTTGCGCTTTCCAGTAGATTGTTCAAACTATTTCCTATGGGCGTTTATGGCCTCGTCTGTCGAGATATGAGCTTCTACCCGGTGAATTAAATCGGCGTATGAAGGAACAGTGTCGTACATAAGTGCCGAATAGAAGGGGCCAGGGCGAAGGCCTCCAAGGAAGACTCCTCTCAATAGTTCAGGATCTACTCCTGGGATTTGTCGAGCTTCAGTGGAGAATCACTGAAAATACTCCTTAGATTCTCCTTCGTGTTGCAAATCAATTTTCATGACTTATGTTTTGATGATTGATAAACACTATTGATTCTCTTGGACTGCCTATTACTTCTAACTTTTAAGGAATCGAAGATCGGATGAATAAACGAAGCCAGTTCAAGATTACGTAGGTCTAGGGTTGAGTCAGTTTGTACTTTATTTTTTTATCTTCTTAAGTCTATTTATAATGGTCAAAGAGACTAATGCTAAGTAACCCTACACACACACACTTGAGAGAATTAGAATTTCTTTTTTTACTCATATCGGCCAGGACGATTTACATCATCCTGGACGATCAGGCTTAAAACAGAAAGTCTAAATGTGGATTCTTAATTAAGGCAGCCGTCATTAACAGATTGGCCTGGACGATACGTGTATCGGCCAGGACGATAAGCTCAAAATAGAAAGAAGTTGCCACCATAGACAATTAAGGTATACTGTTTTTTTAAATAATCGGCCAGGACGATCATTGATCGGCCTGGATGATATTCACAAATTATGCCTTGATTGATCAAGAAATCAAGGGAGTAATTAAAGATGATTGATACGATCATATCGTCCTGGACGATCACAGGATCGGCCAGGATGATATATTCAAAAACCTTAGTTAATTCAGGACAATAAATATCGGCCAGCTCGAATTCAGGGCTATGCTCTGGATGATTTTCCTCTGATTTGAATTAATCGGCCGGGACAATCGTGAGATCGGCCTAGCCGATCAAGCCAATTTTAAATTGTCCAGTTTGCATTCAAGGCGATGCTCTAGCCGATCTTC